CGCTACCTTGTGGTATGTAGAGGAAAGCAATTCACTCCTATCTCTGGATTGGAAAGGCAGCCTCAGAGGACTACGTATGTAGAGGGTAAGGGTCCTAGAAGAGAAGGGCCAAAGGGTTGCCTTCTAAACAGAAAGACCAATTCATGATTTGCCCTTCGACCCAGTAGAATGGATTTGGCAACATCCTCAAAGGAGAGGAGCAGCAGGAATAGGTCACAATAGTCTGTGGCAGATGTCGGTTAAATCTGCCTAGAAGATGCTCAGACCCAAAAGACACGTGAAAGATATGATTAATGACAGATGGGCTAGGCATTTGAACGTGGAGCGCTCCCTCCTTTCCCCGTTTAAATGGTTTAAGGAACAAAAATATCAGCCAATGAAAATCACCTCTCTACAGTGGCAGATAGCTCACCACTGCCTCCCAACCAACGATTGGCTGACAGACCGCACAAACCTCGAACAAAAGGGGCTACTGCTCCTTTGGTGCCAGCGATGTCAGAGTCTTTTTCCCTTCTACAAAAAGGCGGAGACAATTGAGCATATTTTTATGCAATGTCCGATAGCGCAATTCACATGGAGAAGGTGGGACCGCATCTGGCGAAAAATGGTACCAGACATCCCCTGGCCCTGGACATGGCAGGCTATACTGGCAGGCCATTGGCCGCCAGCAACAACAGCCACGACATTTGTAGAAAATATGTATAGACTGGGAAGGAGGGTTGTGATTTGGACACTCTGGTGGCAAAGGTGCATTCTGGCCATGGAAAAAGTACGGGTGGAGGAGCCAGAGATTGAGGAACAGATTCGACAGCAGATCCAGCTGGAACTTCCGCAGAGATGGTCGAACACAAAGTCACAGCTAGACCTTCTTAAACAAACAGGAGACATCAGGGGACGGATCACAAGCTTCTGCACAGATTGGATAGGAGGGGAAAGAGGGCTGGATAAGGACTGGACTAATATAGAACCTTCATTCCCGCTACGCCCTCCCTCAGACTTCCAGGACCCTTTTCCACCACATGCCCTGTCATTGGTTGAGATCCTGTCTTGAACTCTTTTTGAACTGTCCTGATCTGCAGAAAAAGGAACCCTCACTGGTGCCCCCTGGGGAGGGATCCTGCTAACCTTGGCAACAAGAACAGCCGGAGAGAGTTCTCCTCGAAGTGGTATCAGTGCTTAATGGGTCATCTGGCACCCCCCTCTAGGGGGTGAAGAGATACGGAGGACAAAGGATTTATTACTATCCAACTAGTCACGTGGGATACACACACCTGCTCAGTCAATCCCCTGGGAGACAGGGCAATCAATGCTGGCAGGCCTCATAACCATACTTCTCAAATGACTCTGTATATGATCTGTATATTGGACGCTGGACCCGCTTTCCAGCAGGTGATGGATGGAGCCTCCCCCTGGGTGCTAGTGGTGACTGCTCGTATCAGCAGCACTAGCACTGGCAGGGGTTGTGTTGTAAAAAAAAAAAAAAAAAAAAAAAAGGGTGGCCTGGCCAAAATTGGTCCAGCCTAGATGAGTAGGAGGCTTGGGAATTTTGGACCCGAAACTGCAAATGATCGCACTGCAATTGAGGAATATAGTCGGGCTGCTCCTGAGGGCTGCAGGTGAGCCATTGGGGGGATGGCAGAACAACACCTGACATATGCTTTGAGGGAGCAATGAGAGGTGGTTGATCTGTGTTTTACAAGTGCTAATCATACGACGGGGCACATTGTGGTCTAGTCTGTTGTCCTTGTGAAGGGATAAAACGTCGATCCGATGTTGATTGCCGTAGTCTGTGGATGCAGTCTTTAATCAGCTCCTCTTCAGCAACAGGTTTATCTGTGATGTGGAGGGGGATCCATTCCCCTGGCAAGGTAAGGCGGGTACTTTTGGACACCAATGGATGGAGCGCGGGGTATAAAATTGGGCACTTATGGGACGTTCAGTAGGGGATTGGAAATTGGATGATGAAATGATGGAGAGGTTGCCCTGGCAGGTCAAGAGGCTCCAGCGATTGTGGGAGCTGAGAGACGCAGTCCCATCTCAACGGGTGGAACTGTTGAAGAAGGATGGCCTGCAGAAGGGGGATTGGGTAAGGACGAAAGGGAAGACTCTCCCACGACATATTTATAAGATGGAGAGGACGCGAGATGGGCTGACTGGAAGCCACGGAATGGGTGGTGAGATCCGGGTATGAAGGACTGGGCCTCTTGCTGGTGGGTGCAGGACAGGATGGGCTGCCTTGCACATGTCGGATTGAATAGCTACTATGGAGACAGTGTAGGTGTTACATGCCCAGTTAAGCGATGTACATATAAACCGAGGCTCCGCAATGTGATGAAAAGGACTGAATGGACAATGCAGTGCAAGTGAAATCTCAACAAGCAATGTGCATTCTGATGCATACAAAATGGTGCTTTATAGCGCAGGGAAGACTTAGGCACAAGTCCTGACCTGACCGAGACTGACCTCTACCACGTAGTACAAGATAGCGTAGCAGAATGCTAGAATATCAATGAAGAGCCCAATCAATGTCGCAATGCAGACTAAACATACATCATTCCCATCACGAGGTGTGAAGGGGCCTGGCGCTACACACAGGAAGAGGGCGCCGGGTCCAGACATGCACAGACGAAGAGGAGGGGATCAGGCGGAGAAGAGGAGGGGAGAGATGGGAAAGTCATCAACACCAAGTCTCGTTACAAGTCCCAAATAATCCCTCGTCAAAATGTCTGAAGTCCATGTCGAGTCTGGATCCAATGTCACCAAGCTCTCTCTCTCTCTCTCTCTCTCTCTCTCTCTCTCTCTCTCTCTCTCTCTCTCTCTCTCCCGTAGTCTGCTGATGCAGTGAAGTCAGGTATCGAGAGGGTGAGAGGGAGATGGTGGACTGAGAAGAGGAAGAAGAAGAACTCTCTCTCTCTCTTGTATGCCAGGTACTAATCACGAGAAAAGGTTAACCGACCCCCCATTTTTCACCTCAATTTATAAGAAAACCATAWGGCCATCCCAAGCAAACTTCATACCAATCTATAGAGTGCACTTCTTACTAACTTATTAAAAAACAAATACCAAAAAAAAAAAAAAAAAAACACATAAAACAGCAACTCAAAAGTGCATTTTCAGGCAATTTTGCCAAAAAACAACTCCATCGAAATTTCAGGATTTTCAGGATGATTAACAGCACAAATTCTAATAACCCAAATGACACCAAATTTGACACACAGTAAGCTTGTCCTAAAACAAAAACAGGCAAAAAAAAAAATTCCAAAAATACACAAAATTTGACCCCGAAACCCTAATTTCAGGATCATTCATCGTTACACAGGGCCGAAAAGTGCACTAGCGCCCAGCGTTGAAGACTACTGCTAGCGCTACTACTACTCCTGCAGCGCTCCTCCAGAGTGCTGCTGCCGACTCCTGAAGACTACCTCCTGCCTCCTGAACTGCACGTGAAGTGCCTGGGAAGTGCGTAGGAACTACCTGCCTGCCTGCAGGGTGGGCCAGTCCTATACAGTGCTGGCCCGTCCAGGAGGCTGCTCTTGCCAGTGCCGAAACGTGCCAGACCCTGGCGTTGAAGCTCAACAAGGGGTTGTCTTGAAAACAGGCCCGAAATGGCTTGTGCTAAAACCCTGGTTTGTAACCTGAGTTTCAGGGCGGGTCGAACTGATGAGGGTCTGAAAAGGCCCTCAGTTTCAGGCTGAAAACACTCAGGGCCGGAAAGGCCTTGATTTAGCCTGAAACGACACAGGGCCTATAGGCCCTTGTTTTCAGGCTTTCAGGCTGAAACGACACGGGGCCTGTAGGCCCTTGTTTTCAGGCTTTTGGCCTGAAAACGTCACGGACCTGAAAAGTGGCCCGTGCAGCCTGTTGCAGGCGCAGCATGTAACACCCCCGCTCCTTATGAAGTCAAGCCGGGGCGAGGGCGAAGCTGACGATCTGAAGGTGGAACGTGGATGCGGCGGGTGCGACGTGGAGCCGAAGATACCGGCTTGCCTTGCATCTTGCTTTCGTAGCGTGCGAAAACATCCGGAGCTGTGGCTGGGAGTTCCGCACAGGTTAACCAACGGTCATCTTTGTGACTGCAGTACGCGAAGTGTACCAAGTACTCGGTTGGCCTATTGCCGTAGCGTCGCTGGGAGATGATGTCACCGACCTCTTGAAAACCGTCCATAGAGGGTAGGTCTTGCGATCGTTGCCCGGGAAAATCGTCATGTTCTGTTGGCATGTAAAGAGTCAACTTGGAGCAATGAAAGATCGGGTAGACGGGCAAGTGGGCGGGCACCTGAATGGTGAAGGAACGTCCCTCGGGTGCATCCCTAGCGGGTGCCACGATCGGCCAAGGCCCCATCCATTTCGGGAGGAGCTTGCGAGAGATATCTTGTTCAAGGTTGAATTCCGCTGTGGAAATCCAAACGAGATCGCCGATGCGGAATGGGCAAGGAAGATGCTGGCGATTGGCCTGTTGGCTCATGCGTTGGCCATCTGGTCGCGTGCCTTGACAAGTAGCTCTTGCATCCGACACAAGAAAAGAAGATGGTCGTCGCTCTCGGTCGTTCATGGAATGATTTTGTCCAACGGAGAAGTGACCGGCGAGCTGTGCTCGAATTCGAAGGGCGACATCCCGATAGCCGGGTGGATGGACGAGTTGTATGCCAACTCGACGCCTGGTAGCCACTCAACCCAATCCTTTTGGTCGGGACGGATGAGAGTGCGAAGGAGAACCTGTGCGGTCTGATGCGCCCTCTCCGTTTGGCTATCGGTTTGGGGGTGGCGAGCCGAACTTGGCTTGAGAGATGAGCCCCATCGTTTGATGAGCGCCAACCAAAAATTGGATATGAACCGAGTGCCGCGCTCGCAAACGATTTCCTTGGGGTAACCCTTGGTTCGAATCCAACTGGCGTAAAGAACCTCGGCCAACTCCGGTGCCTTGGCATGATAGCGGCAAGGCAAAAACATGGCGAACTTGGTGAGTCGATCGACCACCGTGAGAATCCCATCCACTCCGGTCTTGTGCTTGGGGAACGGGCCGGTAATGTCCATGGCAATCGCGTCCCTTCACCGCAAGGGGACCGGTAACGGTCGCAACTCGTCGTACGGACGATGGTTGCGGGATTTGCAACGTCGGCAAACCCCGCATGACTCGCAATAGCGTGTGACGTCGCCGAGAAGGACGTGCCACCAAAATCGCTCGCGAAGTCGGCCAATCGTGGGATTGACTCCAAAGTGTCCGGTGGCGGGAGTGTCGTGGAACTCGCCAAGAAGCCGTGTACGCAAGTGAGGGTCACTGGGTACGCAAAGAAGGTCCTTCCCCCGTGTGTGGACAATCAAGTACCCCTCTTGGATCCGGTAGTGAGAAGGCGCCGGATTGGGAGAGGAGCAATTCGCGTACTTGTCGCAAAACTCGGGGTTGGCTTGGTACCCGCGGATGAAGCTGTCCCGCAGGTCAGCGTCGATCTCGAAGGTTGAATAAACCGTTGTACAATGATCCGGATGCCGTGAAAGAGCATCCGCAAAACGGTTCGACTTCCCGAGAATGTGATCGGGGAAGAAGTCGAATTGGTCAATGAAAGCCATCCAACGCGCCATGGTGCTATTGACGGTGTCTTGGGTCCTGTAGAAGACCAGCGGATTGTTGTCCGCCACCCATCGGAATTGACTTCGACCAAGGAGGAAGTGCTGCCACTGCTTGAGTGCGTGGACGAAGGTGAGGAGCTCCTTCTTGCGTGCATCATCAACGGAATGCACGACGGGCACTTTCTTGCTGAAGTACTCGACTGGGTGCCAGTCCACGCCAATGTGTTGATCGAGGACGACACCAATGCCATAGCCGGACGCATCCGTAGTTGGCAATAGCGGGTCGTATATGCGCAAGACCTCCGCAGATAATAGTGCGGCTTTGAGAGCCAAAAATGATTCCCGCGCATCCTCTCCGAAGTCAAACGGCCGATCCTCACATTGAAGCTTGGTCAAGTGGGCCGCGATCTTCGAGTATCCCTTGATAAAACGTTGGTAGTAGCCGGCAAGGCCAAGGAACGAACGGACATCCGTAAGGTTCCGTGGCTCCGACCACTCTTGGATGGCTTGAATCTTGTCCAATAGCGGACTGATGCCCTCTGGTGTGACAAAATGGCCCAAGTATTCCAGCTCTTGCCGGACAAATTCGCACTTGTCGCGGTTGGCCTTGTACTTGGTGCGGTGGAGCGTCTCCAACACTCGTCGAAGATGCCCAAGATGATCCTCCAATGTCCGGCTATATACGAGAATATCGTCTAAGTAGACCAGCACGAACCGGTGCAACATTGCACGGAACTCATTGGTCATTGCCGCTTGAAAGATTGTCGGGGCATTGGTGAGGCCAAAGGCATGACCACACACTCAAAATGCCCATACCTCGTCTTGAACGCGGATTTGTAACGATCGGTCGGTCGCATCGAGATTTGATGATCTCCCGACTTCAAATCCAACTTAGAAAAATATTTTGATCCCCCCAATCGCTCAAGGAGATCGTCGATGTGAGGAAGAGGCACTGCATTCTTGACGGTTTGCGCGTTGAGCTTGTGGTAGTCGACGCACAATCGTAGATCCTTGTTCTTCTTCCGTACGAAGAAAACTGGCGCACCGTATGGTGAGCTACTAGTGCGGATCCAGCCCTTGTCCAACAAGTCATCGAGTTGCGCGCGGAGGACCGTAAGCTCCTCCTCGCTCATGCGATAAATGCAACCTTTAGGCGGCACGACACCGGCCTCAAGAATGATCTCGTGAGAGATCGGCCGATCCGGCACCACACCGATAGGTGACTCGAAGATGTCGGCGAACTCGTCAAGCAACCGCACCACACGGGGGTCCGAAGAGAAGTCTGTGGGTGAAGAGTCGGCTACCGCGACTGTCCGGAGGAAGCATAGGCCGATTTCGTCGGGCTGCTCGTAAGCACAAGTAGCCCGGAATGACTTGGCCGTCACCACCTGGCACCGAATCGAAGGGTGCGGAAGAGGAATAATACACGGTACTTCGGCGCTGAAAGCGTCGCGAACTGTAAGAGTCCTTCGGTGGAAGTTGACCGTGTGATCCGCACTTGCAAGCCAAGGCATTCCCAAAATAATGTCGAAGTCCGTGTCCAAAATGCCAAATGCCACCGGTTCGCATGCATGAGGTGCGAAATACACCGGTACGGCCTCGATGTAACGGTCGATAAGTTAATGCGTCCTTCCGTCCGCCAACTTGATCGTCGTCGGGTTTGCCTTCCTTCGAACTTGTGCGCCAAGGCCAGCCCTTTGCATAAAGGCTTGGCTCAGAAAATTGCGAGACGCGCCGCTATCCAGCCAAGCGTTGCAGGACGCTTGTCCAACTTGGATGCGGACATAGAGGAGCGGTGCGTTGTTGTCGTCGTGCCGCTGATTGCGAAACTCGCGGGCCACCTTGGTAACATACGCAAGGATGTCCCCCACCGCAACTTCGTCATCCGTTGACGAAGTTGGTGGTGCATAGAAGGATAAGTACGTGTGAAGATGGGCGCATAATGCTGCGCATTGCGGTCCCGGCAAGCGGCCCGCGGTCGAGAGAGGAAGCCATGCGAAATCCTCGGACGTGAGGGGGTCCAATACCTCTATGTTGAACTCGCTCGCCGAATCCCATGAAGAACCACTTGAAGACGATAAGTTGCCACTGTCGGACGAAGAAGATGCCGCACACACACCTTGTCCTTGAGCATGGGTACCCAGCGTAGGAACGAGTCGAGCAGCATAGTCCTCAAAAGAATAAAGAAGAGGACTATCGACATCCGCATGTGCCTCGGAACGGAGGGCGATCACCCGCGAAGTGACCGGTTCCAAAGGCGTCAAGAGTGTCGTTGAGTCACTCCTGGCGGTGCTCAGTTTCCCGATTTGCCCTTGCCTTTCGACTGGCAGGTCATTGTGTCGTGGAGATCGTTGTTACACCACAGACAATAGCGGAATCTCGTGCGTGCTTTGTATGCCGATTCGGAGAGACCGTAATGGGACCATGGGGCTGGAGCTGCTGCGCCGGGCCCGGGGCTAGATGCAGTGTTTGTCTTCGCCTTGCCGCGTCCTCGGCCTTTGCCGGGGCGGCCACCTTCCCGGGCGGCTGCGAGTCTGTCCCCTTCATTGGCAGACACGGCCTCGCTAGTTTGGTCGATTGGCATTGCCGCTGCGATCACGACCACTTTTGGCCGATGCTGATCTCTGCTCGGGTCTGTCGCAGACGAACGGGGAGGTTCTTAGTCGTGACAATAATCTGCGCGGCCTTGTCGAAGAGCTCCGCCGGTGTTGTCAGGGTGTCCTCGACGTGAGTCAAGGCATTGCCCAACGCCGGACACGACCTCAAAATGAAGTAGTGTTTAATGGCCTTGAAGCCCATTTGAATGTCTGGGACGGATGTCAAGCGTTGGTACTCGGCAATCCAGTCAACACTCGGCAGTGTGCCTTGTTCGAAGACCATCAACTTGTCCATTGCCTTGATCTCTGGCGGCTCTACTTGGAACCGCTTATGCCACACCTCCTTTGTGGTTTCAATTAACGCAATTGCGATGTCGACTCATCACATCCTGGAGCTGGAGAAAACGTAACCTTCTCTCCTCTATGGAAACTTAGAGGTAATAAACGAGCTCAAAACGGTGAAGGCATAAATTACAAGGTCAAGTTAACGTCGTGGTAAGAACCTATTTTGAAGTCAAACGTGCTTTCAAGATGATCTTGGTATGCAAGTCGGCAGCCACCACTCCGTACTTGGACAAGAGATTGTCCAACCATGCTTGGCACACGCCCCCCGAGCGGGAGTATAAGCACGTGTGATGCTTGTGCTCGCTGACGTATTGTAGCTGCAACGTGAGCTCGAACTTGCGGAACTATGGAATCAGGTCCGTCTTCATCGAGTTGCAGAAGATCTCCTGCCCATCGGACTTTGGAGTTGTCTCGCGTGGTCCCGAGCTCGAGTGGGTGGCGGCAGTACAGATCCGCTGCTCCAACTATTGCGTTGCGGTTTGCTGTAACTCCACGCCGTCCTTGAGGGATCCGACTTCAATCTCCAATGCTTCGAGGAGGTCGGAGGTGTTGGAAGAGCTGGCATCGGAGGCGGCGACGGGTCGTTGCTCCAGCTGCTGTAGGCGGCTGCGGACTTGAGCTACTGCGTCGTCGAGCTTGTGAATGTCCTCCTGTTGTGCAACGCATGTGGCCAGGAGGTCCGTGAGATGGGAGAGGTGTAGAGCGATCTTGTTTCCACTCTCTTCCTGTTTCCCATTCTCAGCCTGGGCCCGCCAGTCTGCTGCCATTGTGAGCAAAGCTCGCTCTCCGCTGAATATCTTCTCGCATCGTTGAAGTCATTCTTCATCGGCAGCCTTTGCTGCTGCCTCGTCTTGCTGGCGTTGCTGTTCGATTGCCAGCAGACGTGCCTTCTCGGCGTCCTCTGCCTTTTTTTTGTTGCTGCTGCTGCTGCATCCGACCGTTGCTTCGCTTCGGTAATCAGACGCAGCATCCGGGCCTGATAGGCCTCGTCCGTTTCCCCGGGCATCTGGTCCATGATGGCTGTTTTCGAGCGCGTAAGCATAGACCAGGCTGGGGCCTGCTGACGTGGCACTTCCTGCTGCTGATGTGGCTGCTGGCGTGTCCTGCTGACATGGTAACTTACCAATGCCGCTGCAGGGGGTACCCGAAGACAGCTAGAGAAGATAAGACAAGAGGGGTAACATCATAGGTGGGGAGGGGTGGGTGGGGATAAATCGCCCAGATAAGGAGCCACTAATCAAAAAGGAAAAGTTTGAACTTCGCAAAAAAAAATTCGAGAAAAAATAAAAATCCCGAGTTTTGCAAGTTCAGTAGGTCTCCCTACCTCCCATGAAGTGTGAAGTTCTCAATGAGAAAATTTTTGAACTTTCAGACTGTCGATGATTGACCGATGAGAATTCCGAAAAAAAATAAAATACAGCAAATATTCGGAATTACTCAGATGAGAGTACGCACAGTTTGGAAAATGATAACTGCAAGAAGGATTTCCCGTACCGTTTTGAAAAAAACGAATTTCGAAAAAAAATATTTCGAACTTCCAAGTAACGGAAAATTGCAAACAGAAATCTGAATTTTCGAAAAACAGATATTCCGGATTTCCAACAACGGAATTTCGAATTTTCAGAAGAAAAACGACAACGGCAATTTCAGGTGTTGCGCTATTGCGATTTTCCACAACAGAAATAGCGAGAAAACAAAATCCGAGAAAAGAAGAAAAAAATTCGATTTTTGGCAGTGAGGTCAAAATCGTGATTTTGGGGGCTAACTAGTGTGCTCTAATCAATCAATCAAGACTAATCAGCTACCTAGTCCCAGATCAGGTTGTCCTGATTCACGTGCGGTGTTCCGATACCAACTGTTACATGCCCAGTTGGGCGATGTACATATAAACCGAGGATCCGCAATGTGATGAAAGGACTGAATGGACAATGCAGTGCAAGTGGAATCTCAACAAGCAATATGCATTCCGATACATACAAAATGGTGCTTTATAGCGCAGGGAAGACTTAGACACAAGTCCTGACCTGACCGAGACTGACCTCTACCACGTAGTACAAGATAGCGTAGCAGAATGCTAGAATATCAATGATGAGCCCAATCAATGTCGCAATGCAGACTAAACATACATCATTCCCATCACGAGGTGTGAAGGGGCCTGGCGCTACACACTGGAAGAGGGCACCAGGTCCAGACATGCACAGGCGAAGAGGAGGGGATCAGACGGAGAAGAGGAGGGGAGAGATGGGAAAGTCGTCAACACAAAGTCTCATTACAAGTCCCAAATAATCCCTCGTCAAAATGTCTGAAGTCCATGTCGAGTCTGGATCCAATGTCACCAAGCTCTCTCTCTCTCTCTCTCTCTCTCTCTCTCTCTCTCTCTCTCTCTCTCTCTCTCTCTCCCGTAGTCTGCTGATGCAGTGAAGTCAGGTATCGAGAGGGTGAGAGGGAGATGGTGGACTGAGAAGAGGAAGAAGAAGAACTCTCTCTCTCTCGTATGCCAGGTACCAACCTGTGAAGATGGCGATGTGCTGCAGGTAAGTCTCCCTGGCCTCCGCCCAATCTCTCTCTCTCTAGTACTACTCTAGCTCCTATGGCGCCCAGCGCTGAAGACTACTGCTAACGCTACTAGTGCCCAGCGCTGAAGACTACTGCTAGCGCTACTACTACTCCTGCAGTGCTCCTCCAGAGTGCTGCTGCCGACTCCTGAAGACTACCTCCTGCCTCCTGAACTGCACGTGAACTGCCTGGGAAGTGCCTAGGAACTACCTGCCTGCCTGCAGGGCGGGCCAGTCCTATATAGTGCTGGCCCGTCCAGGAGGCTGCTCTTGCCAGTGCCGAAACGTGCCAGACCCTGGCGTTGAAGCTCAACCAGGGGTTGTCTTGAAAACAGGCCCAAAATGGCCTGTGCTAAAACCCTGGTTTGTAGCCTGAGTTTCAGGGCGGGTCGAACTGATGAGTGCCTGAAAATGGCCCTCAGTTTCAGTCTGAAAACACTCAGGGCCGGAAAGGCCCTGATTTAGCCTGAAATGACGCAGGGCCTGTAGGCCCTTGTTTTCAGGCTTTCGACACGGGGCCTGTAGGCCCTTGTTTCAGGCTTTTGGCCTGAAAACGTCACGGGCCTGAAAAGTGCCCCGTGCAGCCTGTTGCAGGCGCAGCATGTATAATAGCTGCAAATCAGCAAAAGGGGTGATGAGGATTTTCTCCCCTCTATCTCAGCAAAGCTCGAAGAGACTTGGCGCGAGACCCACAGGACTGGTACCTTGCCTCCCAGGACTACAACGAGAAATGTGTCCCGCTGCAGCAGATTACCACAAAGGTGACCTACTGCTCCTTACTCCCAAAGGTGGACAATGCTAAAGAACTGCGAGGCATATAGTCTAAAAGGGACTGTCTCCCTCCGGCATTGATGTCCAGATGGACGTACCGCAAGTGGAGGGAGCAAGGTGCAATTTTGAAGGCCCTACCTGACGAGAAGCAGGCGGATTGTTATGGTTGGCTGGCCACTAAGAGTCGACATAAAGAAGTGCGCACTGCTTCGCTACTGGATGTGGCCAGGTGGACTCTATTCCCCATGTCTTCGTGCACTCTCCCGCGGTACTGAGCTTCTGGAAATGGTGGTTAGTGAAGATGAGGGAGCCCTCTCCGTAGGTGGTTACAGAGGAGGACGATGCAGCAGTCCTATTAGGAGCAGTAATGACTGTGAATAGGGAGGACAAAGACCAGGTTTTCGCTGTGGAAGTAATCAGGGCGGCGGTGCTCTGGGGTATATGGACCTTCAGAAACGAAAGGATTCAGGAGCGTAAGGAAGTAACCATGCTGGTTGTGAGAAACATAGCGCTGGAGAATCTGCGAGTGGCTGCAGAGGTGTAAACAGAAATCAGGGAATGATGACAGCAAAATTTTGGAGGGTTTGGGGGCACTATCCCAGGCTGGTCAAGAAGGATCCTTTTTCTTTTTTTTTTTAATAAAATTTTTCTTTTTGTTTAAAAGAAAAAAATTTGGACCATTTCTCGATTTATGTGTCTTCCTTGCGCAGGGGCCGTGCTAAACTTCTCTGTATCGTTCCAATTTTAATGGATGTCCCGAAGGACTGGTCAAGAAGGATCCTGCAACAGGCAGATTGTTTTTTTTTTTCTACTTTACAGAAGTATGCAGTAAATGAGGAAGAGTAGGTTTCAGGCCACTCTGTAACAAAGTTAGCGAAAGTTCGAGGCCCATGTATTTTGATGTGGTGTGGGGTGAGGGTGGCGGGAGGGGAGGGCCGCCCAGTTGGGCTAGGCGGTGTAGGAGTGTGCAGGCATTCGACATATGAGGTGAATGCTGGGAGACTAGATGTGCTAGTGCAGAAAGGGTGTAAGAGCTTGGCATATATGGGGAATGCTGGGAGACTGGAAGTTGTATCGCAGAAAGGGCGATGATGGGATGTGGAATCGCGGATAGGGTAATGATTGCATGAACACTACTAGGAAACGGACGGGTGGATTAGGACCCTGGTATTGGGGAGGGGAGATATATGGATTGTATGGGTTGTAGAAGGGCTATGTAGTACGTATATATACGTGGCTAATTGTCTGGGTTTTCAGGTATAGGACGAGAATGGAGTAATGGTTTAGGTGGTCCGTTCGAACTAGAGGTGGCTAATGGGAGCCAAGATTTGAGGCCTAGATTAGATAGTGGAAGTGCAGTTCTGTGAACCGACACCGCCCCCCCAAGACACTCATAGTGTGCGTCTGGGTACTGAATGGATGTTTCCCGGCCACTATGTGAGCCCTGGTTGGGGAGGACAGATATGTGTCACAGAACTGCACCCCTAGTCCTCCCTGCAAAGCGTCTCGTGCAACAGGGATAGTAGAGTGGACCTTTTTCATGTGTTGCCGCCGCTCTTCCTCTAGTCTTAACATTGCTGTATGCTTGCCGATGATAAGTAATGGAACTGTTGCTCTCAAGAATAGATGGGGACTTGTGTTGGTTTGGGAAAAAAAAAAAGAGAGAGATGGAGTTGACAGTATAAGGAGAAAGGTGCCAAGCCGGGGAGATGGTGGGGAGGGAATTTGAGTTCTCTTGCAATGGAGATCTATTATTTCCCTGTTGCGGATTCAATATTGCAATTGTTTTTGAAACACTTGGCAGTGTGGATGGCAGTGTGGATGGCAGTGATATGTGCGAACCTGTTTGAGGTGCATCTGTGGTGAAAGTTGATGGTCACTGCAACTGTGCAACAGTGGCTTCGGATGTTTAGCTAAATAGGGTTCCAACTTCGAACACACGAGAGAGGGAGACAGAAAGAGAAACAGAGAGTGAGAAAGGAGGCAGAGAGAAAGGTCCAGCCAACACCCATTGTAAGCTGGGATGCCTTTGTTTGGTTGCCTGAGTACAAGTTTGCCTGAGTATAGGTCACACATAGATTGCAGACTAACTTTGTTGTCGTGACGTTTGGTTGCAGACATGCCAGCGTTTCACAGCAGATGAAATCGGTTCACTGAGCAAAGCTGGGAAGGACAGGAGCTCATTCTGAGTGCCGTGTATGGTTTCCTTCAATGTTGCCTTTTTGGCAACGATTGCTGCATGATTGTTGCTGGCGGCTGCCCAACAACACGAAGCCAAGCTACAGTCACCGATGATTCTCCAACAATCACTGGATAATCCTTGGCAATGTTGTCATCGTCTCCCGAAAATTCCAATTTACCACTGTAGTTCTTTTAGAAAGGTATATTGACGAAAGACTCAGAGGATAATTGCATGAAAATGTTTGACTGCATCTGACGATAGCTGTAGCCAAGTACATCCAGGAAATAGAAACGGCTTTTGTGTGGTACCTGGCTTATGAAAACACCTCATCATCCTAGTTAAACTAAACCGGATTCTCTGTATCAGGACTGCAAAATGGCTGAGGAGGAAGTTTCTGGACGGCAGCTTCTGTGTCTTACATTCGTATTTTGGGATATTGATGTCATCCGATTTCCATTACTCCTCCAGCAAGACGAAGCCCTGTCGTGGGTTTGGCAGCGGCCGCGTTTCCAGCAACCTCGCGGGGCTGAGCATGCAGGGAACCTCGTTAACGGCCAAGTGCAGTGGACACCTCAGTTCTTGTTATCTGCATGGAAGTCTGCGAGTCTGTGTGATGATGTGCCATCACTGAAGGAGTTCCTGGCTGACGATCCAAGAGTTCTGAGCTGTTTCTGGAAAGAGATGGCTAGCAAAACCTTTGAAGAACACGACGGAAATCATGGAGTCGCTATTTCGTTAGCTATGTTGGATGTCATGGACAGGCCATGGTCTAAGTTTTGGAGAGGAGATAATGATGCTGACCTTGTAACATCAGTAAATATGCATACATTGGAAAGAATCTTCTGTTTGCACAAAGATTCATTCCAGCAGCTAAGGGTCCTTGTAATTTTTTTTGTTGGGGAACAGGACACTCGGTGGCCACCAAACAATTTTGGCTTTCATAGCTTATCTCTATTCAAAGGGCTTTCTCATGTCCTTAGCAATTCCAGGTGTCGCATTGAGAAATTGTCACTTCACATTGGCATTGTCGAACCAGAAGTAGGTCCTCTGTTGGCAGACATGCTGAGCCACAACTTCTCTCTTACTTACTTAGATCTTTCCTCACACTTGTCAGGCGAGGAATTTGCAGCTCGCATTGCAGAGGGCGTTGTGAAAAACAGAAGCTTACAGAAGTGTTACTTGGCTTTTACGCTTGACGGTAATCAAACTGTAGCTGCTAGACTTGTTGCTGAATTGGCAAATGGGCTGGCAACCTCAAGTGGTGCTCCAATTCATGTCATTCCCCAGGGTTCTGCATCGTCAGGAGTCATAGCGACAATAGGGGGACCGGCAAGTTCGGCGGCTGAGATAAGGCAAACCTCAGCAAACAGCGGAGCAAGGCAGCGAGGAAGCCAACTCCAGAAGCTCCTTCTCAAATGCTTCGATACAGAACTCAGGGATGCTCAAGGCCTTGCAAAGTTGGTTGCATTGAACACAACACTGAAGCAGCTGAGCCTGAAGTTTCACGAATGGTCCGCTGAAGTAATGTTGACAGTGCTTGAAGGACTCAAACAAAACAGATCCTTGGAAATTCTCGAGTTTTTCACATTTTCTCCCTCCATAGCCAGCAGCCTTAATACTCTTCAGCGAGCACAGTTAGAGTCCATTCTTCACCAAAACTCGACTCTCAGGTGTTTTCAAGCTCCTCTTCGACCAGACGACATTTTGATGGTTCATAACAGACTGGAAAGAAACTATTGGGAGCGTTCTGTGTTGAAGGCTGCAGGCACCGCGCAGTATTCTTCAAGCGAGCACATCAAATGCTTCTTGGCTGGCGATCCACTTGTGGGCAAGACCACACTCAGGAATTCCATGTCTCGAGGGAGCAGATTGCAGTCAATGGTCTATGGAGTGTTAACCTTGGCTCAGCCTGTTGGTCGTCGGACACGAGGGATTGAGGTTAAGTGTTTGAGTAAAAAAAGTGAGGAATCTGGCAATATCAATATCCATTTGTGGGATCTGGGCGGACAGCAAGAATACCACACGATTCATGATCTCCTCATGCCCACTCTTGGAAATGATATGGCGATTCCACCACTGTTTGTGCTGGTTTGTGATCCTGTAAGTGCGAACCCTGGGCACAAACAAAATTCTTCACGTGTATGGAGGTCAATGGATGACTTGGAGAGGAGTTTGGGATACTGGCTGAAATTCATTGCTGCCAACTGTGTCCCGCATTGTAAGCCTTTAGTGATCCTGGTCTTCAACCCTCATTATCCGCTTCCAAGTTCACCGACATTTGAACATCAGGTGCACGAGCTGCAGAAATGGGCATTCATGAGATTTCAAAACGTGCTGGACATTGCAGAGGAGTTTCTTGTTGTTGATGCACGGAAAACAAAGGATGCTGAAAGGGTGAGCAATCTCCTGTTCTATCGAGCGAAAAGAATCCTGGAAAGGTCTAAAGTGTTGCTCATCATGGAAAAAATTCTGTCAAAGGTTGTCTCACTTCCAAAGAGTGAACCTCTTCTTTCCCGAAAGGATTTTGATCAGGCCTGTTATGAGGCCACACATTCCACTATAGAATCTTTGAAAGAACACCTGCCGCACGATTGTCCAGACTTGTCTGATTTTCCAAAAGGTCCAGGAAAACCAGGAAGGGGAGCGGAATCATCGACAGCCTTATCGAGTATGCTGACTGATCTAGGCAACATAGCGGCTCGCTACCTCCATGACATCGGTGAGGTCATCTGGTTCGAGCCACTGCCATTTGTGATTGTCCAGCCGCAGTGGTTTTGCTGTAGAGTTGTAGGGCACCTAATCCCAACAAATTTCCACGACTCAGGAGTCCGTGATGGGATTGCTGATTTGAAGCTTTTGAAAAGTATACTAAAGACTTCTCTCCCAGAGAAAAACTATGTGCATGTGAACTATTTGGTGGAACTGATGGCAAGGATGGAGCTTGGGTACAAGGTCGATAACGGGCAAGGCATGATGATACCTGGATGTCTTCGCGATAGAAGGAGTGATGGTGACATAAAATGGGAGCTGGCGCGGCATGAACAGAGCTGTTGCTTCGGGTTTCGGATTGAGTGCAGGGATAAGGAGCGGACGATGCTGTCAGCCGGTTTCTTTCATCGTTTGCAGGTGCGTATTGTTTCTCACATCCCCTTGCTCCTTCCTGTGCAATCACTAACTGCTCAGAAGCATTATCACAAAGCACTTTGATAAGGCACCAGCCAAAAGGTGAGATAAACATTCACATTACGAGTTCAATCCAACCCTCTCTCCTATCCTCTTCTTCACCTGTCCCCCTTTGCTTCCTAATATGTCTTTTCTTATCTTATAGGGTTTTTTTTTTTTTTTTTTTTATATATATATATATATCGTCAAATAGAACTGCCCGGTAAACCGTAGGCAGAGAGGGAGAAGAGGACAACAAACGAGGGGCTGTGACAAACTGTTTCATCGGAGTTTCACCGACTCATCAGGAGGCTGAACCCTATATGTCAACATCGTTGAAGATCTATTCTCTTTGAAGTTTGAAGTCCCCCCCCCCTTGTAAGGAACCAGCGAATGAGAACTCAAAAATTTCGAGATGCAAAAAAGGCTGACAGGAGGCCAATTACGAATCAGCCAAGTTGAACGCAAAATAACAAAGTGGGAGCACATCAAAATAAAGCACACACTGAACACTGAAGTCCCTTGACAATGAAAGAACTCCTTGCACTTCTAGCAATGTAGTAGCCCTACTACGATGTCTCTACCTATACTACTCTCTTACTCAACCTAGATACCGCAGCGTAGCCCCTCTCACTCTCTCCTTCCTCTCCCCTCTCGCTAGACGTTGCTGAAGAATCTGATCACAGTAGGTGCACCTCAGCCAAACCCAGGTAAGTATCCTCCCCTCCTAAATGCCACTCCACTTCCCTGATTACTTTCGCTACTCACTACCCGCTTCCGCTGAGTCTTGCTGCCTCAAGCTATGGCAGGCACAGGCCAGGAAGCCAACGCTATGCCGCCCTCTTCTGCACGGGTGCTCGTCTGCTGCACACACTGCTAGCACTGCAGCGTGGTGCTCACTACTTGATTGTGCCTCTGCCCCTGCCCTCCTCTCTTTTGTCTCTTCCGAGGCTGGGGTTTGGGCATCCGAAGGCATTCCCTGTCAACCTACCGACCTGGGTCTGGGTCCCAGTGCATGTAACTACCTGTGCGGCATCCTGACAGGGCGTGCTGTGCAGGTTGCTGGTCTGGGACATAGTCGTTTTCCAGGGTTAGCCTGTTTCTTTACGGGCAGTCGTCATTCTGAGCACGGCTGAGGCCTGGGGCCTCACATTCTCACCCCCTTAGGTCTGAAAGTCCTCTGACAACCCTTATGCTTGTCGTTGCCCTTGCTTTTCCTTAGGAGCCCTCTCACGTTGTGAAACCACTTCGGTCGCAGACTGAATCAATGCTCTTGTCGACCACCTGTCTTGTCTGCATCCAAACCCTCTAACCTACACTTGTCTACATCCCAACTTTCTAGTCTGGCTTTTCTGATTCTAGCTTTCTGTTCTCTATCTGCTACGTTTCGGAGTTCGGCCTCTAACTTTGCACAAAGATTGGGTGCCTGTTGTATTTCCAGGGCTGCTTTTGACAATGGGAGTGGCTGGCTGGACTGCACACTAGACATTTGACTTCAAGGGGTGCCCTGACTAGCACCTGCTACGCTGGAAGGAGAAGCTACCTGTGTCTGCTGGCTCTGCGAAGCCATTACTGCTGTGACAGCTCGACTGTGTGCAGCTGCCGCTGCTATAGCCAAGGGCCTATCCGCTGCTGTTGTTGGCTCTCAGCTCTACGCCTGCGGCTGCTCTCCTCAGCAAGCCTCCTCAACATCCCTTACTCCCCTGGCCCTAGCACAAGGTAAGTAAGAGGTTGACAAAGTGAGTTCTGTCTTGAGAGTCCTCTCATTGTGAGAAATCTATGGTTGGGGGGAGCATTATGAGGTACATTGCTCCTTACCTTATCTACCCTCTTCGTTGCTTCTTACCATGAGGAAGTGAGTTCTGTCTTGAGAGTCCTCTCATTGTGAGGTGTCACGAGCGCTCAACCTTGAGAGTCGACATTCTTCCGTGGGAGCAAGCTGGTGGGAGACGGGCATTGCCTCTGAAGGTTCTTGGACGAAGCACATGGGTCATGGTCACCATGCCAACCTGCTGGGACTAGTACACGCATGCTTTGCCGCTTGTCCTTTGGTCTGCATGCTGCTCTGTAGAGGTCATGTCGAGCAGGCCAGCCCTATGAGGTAGAGACGAGTACCGGACCGTCTATAAAGAGACTCTGGCGGGGATGCACAACTTGTGCTGTACGCGAGTTATAGTACGGCTGGGGCTGGCCAGTTCTGCATTGACTTGGGGCACAGGGGTGGGCCGATTGCACACCTTCAGGCACGCCGCTGAACCAAAGCTTCAGGACGTTGACACAAGTGACAACTCAAGAAGGATACAAGGGGAGGAAAGATTTCAGTAAACAGTTGAACTGTTTACTATTGTAAAATTTCATTCTGCATGCACACCAGCAAATGATTTTATTTTTATTTTTGATTCGTTAGTTGTGATGGACTATGCTAACAACGGACAGACAACTGCAGATAGGTAGTAATTATTCCTTTCTGCATTGCAATCTGTTTCAGACTAGTCAAAAGTAGGAACAAAATTGTTTGTAGGAATCTGAGATTATCTGTTGTTACCGCTTGGCTACATTCTGAAAAGCTGGACCGAACAATTATTTTACTTTGCTAACAACTGACAGACAACTGCAGATAGGTAGTAATTATTCCTTGCTGCATTGCAATCTGTTTCAGACTAGTCAAAAGTAGGAACTTCATGCTGGTGCCTTCCCCTTCAATTGCTTATCATACTCGGCCACAATCTGAGGAGCTGTCTTAACGAGTTCCTCCCTCGTAAACCATCGATCTTCCTTAGGATCCGTATGATGCCTGAACCGTACTCTGTATTGTCTTGCAGGTTTATGCGGTCTACCGTTGCCAGCTGGCTTGGGAACAGGCATGTCTCTGTGCTCCAGGGTATTGTCGACGTCCACGTGGCCATCCATGGTTGGGGGCAGCATAGATCTCCGAGATGGGAACTGTTCTGTCTCAGCGAAAGGAGCGAGCTTTGAGGCATGAAACATAGGGTGAGTGCGTAAGTGACCAGGGATACGGATAACGTACGAGGGACCATCCATCTCACTACCCACAACATCCAGGACTTCCTAGGGACCGAAGTACTGAGGCATTAGTTTCCTAGAGATGCCGAACTCCTGTCCCAATTCACTAGCCTTAACCCAAATACATTCCCCTACCTGAAATGTGGACTGTCGGCGATGCTTGTTCTCAGAAGCAATCATTGCTTCCTGAGATTGCTTCCTGAGACTTCTTGATGTTCTCGACAGCTTGCTGCAGCAACTTCTCGTACTGGACACCAAACTCAATGGTTCCAGGAGTTGCAGCAGGTCGGTTTTCGAGAAGGAGGAAATCTAGTGCAGATCTAGGCTTCCACCCCAGATGCAGCTGATTCGGGGTGACCCCGGTGGTGCTGTGTACAACGTTATTGTACAGACTAGCGATGAGAGGTAATTTCTCATCCCAGTCATCTTGGTTGGGCTTGATATAATGCCTCAGCAGATGTTGCACCACCCGGTTCATCTGTTCAGCCTGTCCATTTGCTTCGGGATGATTCCCAGAAGTCATTTGGAGCTGGTTGCCTATCTGTTCAACGACCTTCTTTCACATCTCGCTTGTGAAATGCACATCTCTATCACTAACGATCGTCTTTGGCAGTCCAAAGTCACGCACCCAGTTATCCATGAATAACTTGATGACGTGTTCAGTCCTGGCGGTCTTCGACATGGCAATTAGTCTAGCAAAATTAGTGAACCTATCAACTATGACAAAGATATGTCTCTTGCCATTCTTGCTGGTCACGAGGGTATCCATGAAGTCCATGGAGATACTCTGTCCCGGACCAGCAGGGATGGGTAAAGGATCGAGTAACCCAAGTGGAGCTTGAGTACGCGGCTTGTCTCGCTGACAGACCTGACAGGTCTATCTGTACTTCTTTGCATCGTCCAGCATGTTAGGCCACCAGAATCGTTGTACTAAATTAGCACTCGTCTTCTTATAGCCGAAATGTCCCATTACGACATGACACTCACCTAAAAATAAACTACGCAAAATCTCTCTAGATGGAACAACTAACCTTTTAAACCCTGCCTTCTCAAGAAAGAGTAACCCATCCACCATCACATACTCGTCAGTGGTGGCCTTGTCCTTGGTCTTCAGTTTGTTGATGATGTCCATCGTGATAGGGTCTTCCTTGTAGGCTTCCCCCAAGGATCGAGTAACGTTCTCAGAAAAGCCAAACTAAAAAATCAGCGCACCTAGATAATCTGCCCTACGAGACAATGCATCCGCAACCTTGTTGTACTCTCCTTTTACAAAATCTAGTTTGACATCATACTGATCTATCACTTCAATCCAGCGTTTGAGTGCATCGGAGATTGTGTCTTGATCCACTTGAGGGTCTGATGGTCAGTTCTCAAATAGAAGAACCTTCCTAACAGATAGTGCCTCCAGTGGACAAGTGCATTGTAGAGGGCATATAGTTCCCTCTCATAGGTGGACTTTGCCAACTTCTTTGATAGCATCTTTTTGTTTATATACTCGACCGGTCTCAACTTTTCCCCTTCCTGCTAAGCCAACACTGCGCCAATGCCGTATTTGATTGCGTCAGCGGTTACAACAAACGACCTTTGCGGGTCGGGTACCATGAGAACCTCATGGCGCGTGAGTGCATGCTTCAAACGCTTGAAAGCTGCCTCACACTCGTCGGTCCATTCCCATGGCGTATCAAGTCGAGTTAGATCAGTCAAGGGAGATGTGATCGTGCTATAGTTCTTAACGAAGTTACGGTAATAACCACACATTCCCAAGAATGATCTGACCTCAGTCACAGATTGGGGTCGTGGCCAGTCACGTATGCTAGCCACCTTCGCATCTTCGGACCTAATCCCATCCGCGGAGACTTCATGACCCAAGTACAAGATTCGAGTGCGACCGAACTCACATTTTTCTAAGTTTACCTTATACTTGTGTTGTCGAAGGAATGAAAGTACCTTGTCTACATGTTGGGCATATCATCGAGGTACACGACGGCGAACTTATCTAAGTGGTCATGGAAAATCCTATTCATGGCGTGCTGGAATGTACCTGGCACATTGCAAAGGCCAAAGGGCATCACCACAAACTCGTACAGACCGTACCTGGTCTAGAGTTCGGTTTTGTGCTGGTCCTCTGGTCTTATAGTAATTTGATGGTAGCCAGATTTTAAGTCTATCTTAGTATAGTACTTACATCCATGCACCCTATCCAATAGGTCGTCGATGCATGGTAGAGGCTTTGCATTCTTAAAAGTGATGGCATTGAGGCCTCTATAATCAATGCACATCCTTAGTGATCCCCCTTTCTTTGGGACAAATAATATTGGTGAGCCAAAGGGGGAGGTGCTAGGCCGTATCCAACCCTTCTCTTTGAGCTCTTTCAGTTGTCCCCATAGCTCGTCCAACTCGGTCGGAGCCATCCTATCGGTTCTCCCTTTAGGTGTCTTGCTACCTGGAATGATCTCTATGGCATGGACAACCTCCCTGTCTACGACTCATGTAGGTTCCTCAAACAGATCGGGGTACTTAGCGACAATGTTCTCTATCTCTAGGGGTGTTTTAACGGCCTCCCCTTTCTCAGAGACATAGACTAGGTACATACCTTCCTCTTGGTGCTGTTTATAATAATTATAGAACGCAGATGCGCATAGGCACCCATAGGAGACAATTAACCTACTGGCTTTGTCCTTAGCCAGTCTAACGGTTCTCCCACTAGGCAACTCCTGCTTTAGCACCTTCTTGTCTCAGTCAAACTGGGGCTTGGCAACCTCAAGGTAGTACATACCTAATAACATATCAAAAGGCAAATCTTCGTTCACCAGGAACGATATTCTGTGATTAAGTTCTTCTCCTGAATAGGAGAAAGTGCAGACCACGTCCTTAACGCAGTCCTTTACCATCATGCGCTCTTTGTTAGCCAAAGTAGATGCTACCGGTCTACTAAGGCGCTGCACCCGATTTTTTAGGCGCAGCCGCTCAACGCAGTCACAACTTATGGAGTTTCGAGTGGAGACGATGTCTATGAAGGCACCGCACTTGCGACCACCCACACCAACTTCCACAACGAAATGCTCCCCTCTAGGACCTCGACTTATTGCCACCCAAAACTCATGAGGTTCCCTTGCCGACCACTCACTTTGAAGGCCCTCTAAGGCTTCAGACACATCCAAAGTACAGAGTATAGTTGGGTCCGGATGCGTCTACGGGGTGACTAAGGAGTCAATAGCTTCGGCCAACTCTTGAAACGGGGAGGGTACATCACCCGCTTCAACAAGAGTAGAAGCAACTACAACTTCCACTGGCGTGTTTCCCGAGCTGGAGCTCGTAGAGGCCCCAGACTGAGAAGAAGGATACCCACCCTTAGGAGGTATCTTCTGCGCGACCTTCGCGTTTCTGCATTTGAACTGTTGATGGCTATACTCGCCGTAGTTTATGTAGGCTCCTCGCTGGTAACGGTCCCGCCACACATCTTGATCCAAACCGGTTCCAACCCACGCATCAATTTTGTTTGGGTTTGCGGTTTGCCCTTGACTCCTCTGTTAACCGTCCTTGCCGCGACCACCTACCTTAGTCTTGACTACCGCGGCGAGGTTGCTACCCTTAACACTATCCTGTTGAGCGCACAAACTAGCAGCACTGCTGCCTTGCCCACAAGTGCCTGAGTCCCCTGTGGCCAGGCTCTTTCCTAGATGGAAAGCGGCCTGGCCTCCAGGCTGCTTTGCTGGGAGGCCCATGCTTCCAGTAGCTTCATGTTGGGCCAAAGTTAGTGGAATTTCCCAGTTTCAAATCGGATATGAGCAGTACGAATCCGTCAACGGTCGGGTGAGACTGCGCCCAGGCAGTTAGGCGCGCCCAACAACCCAGCGCCCAGTGAGTTGTTCCCTGTTTTCCGATTGGCCGAGAGGCCAGCTTCCAAGTCAAGAGTAGAAGAGCCTGGAAGGCTCACAGAGATTCTGACGCTCGCGAGCAGGGCACATGTAACCAACTGGCGCCTGGCAACTGTCTGGCGCCCACCAAGGCAGGCAAAGTTTGCAATATTCAGGCGCCCAAGCGGTGCTTGAGTCCTAGGCTCTTCCCGTTGACAAACTTGACAAGTCTCTACATATTTCTTCGCATCGTCCATCATGGTGGCCCACCAAAACCGCTGCACTAAATTTTTTGTTGTCTTTTTATAACTGAAATGTTTGGTTGTGTCGTGCACTCACCTTAAAATAAACTGCGCAAAGACTCTCTGTTCGGAATACATAAGCGTTTATTCCCAGCCTTCTCAAGGAACAACACGCCTTGAACCAACACAAACTCATATGAAGTAGCCTTGTCTTTAGCTTCCAGTTTGCGGATGATCTCAGACATGATCGTGTCCTCTTGATAGGCTTCCACCACAATCGAGTTAAATCATCAGAAATCCCAAACTCAGTCACTAGCGCGCACAAATAGTCTGCCCTACGCGATAGTGCATCAACCACTTTGTTATACTCTCCCTTCAGAGGGTTGAGCTTGAAGTGGTACATATCTATGAATTCAATCCACCTCTTAAGTGCGTCGGAGAGCACAGGCTGTGTTTTAATCCAGTGCAGCATCTCATGGTCAGATCTCACATAAAAGAATCTGCCTAGGAGGTAGTGCCTCCAATGGATCAGCGCTCTGTAAAGAGCATAGAGCTCACGCTCATACGTGGACTTGCTAATTTTTGAGATGGCATATTTTTGGTCATGTACTCGATAGGCCTCAACTTATTCCCGCACCTATGTCGTATTGGTTGGCGTCTGTGGTCACAACAAAGGGTTGTTCAAGATCCGGAACTTTGAGGACTTCGTAGTGCATCAAGGCATACTTCAATTTCTTGAAGTTTGCCTCACACTCTTCGGTCCATTCCCAGGGGGTGTCCAGGCGTGTGAGGTCAGTAAGAAGGGAGGCTACAAGTACTATAATTCTTAACAAACGGGCGGTAGTAGTCTGTCATCCCCAAGAATGACCTCACCTCAATCACAGAGTGAGGTCTGGGCCAGTCACGTATGCTGGCCACTTTGGCATCTTCCGACCTCAATCCATCCGCGAAAATCTCATGACCCAAACAAAATCTTGGTGCGGCCAAATTCACATTTTTCCAATTTTACCTTGTATTGGTGCTGTCTTAGGAACCCTAACACTGTTTTCACGTGCTCAGCGTACTCCCCTACAGTCCTACTGAAGATAAAGATACCGTTGAAGTACAAGACAATAAACTTGTCTAAGTAGTCATGAAAGATCCGGTTCATTACGTTCTGGAACGTCCCAGGAGCATTTCATAGGCC